ATGCTGAAAAAACAGAGAAGGAAAATTTCAATTTATCCCACTTGTAAGCGAGATATTTTGCCATCACCCCAATTTTTGGCTGGGTGGGTTTCCTCCTCACCCCACAGAGATTAAATGTAAGGGGCAGAGAAGAGGGGTAAAGAAATTACAGTTTTGTTTCCATTCTGCAAGGTTGAGCCACAGCAGGATTGGACCTCTTACATGGTGCTTCCTTTTCTATTCTGAATCCTACAAGAGGTGTGGAAGTGCCATCTATTTCCATCAGCTTCTTTCCGAACTTGGACTAACGGGGCTCCTTCCATGGGAAATCTCATTCTGATGGCCTGCAGTTTCTCTAAAAATATCCCCATAGCATCTCCATAACCTTTCCTTTCTCAAAGGGTGGACATCTTCATTTGTTTCATTCCCATCAAAGAAGGAAAGAAATTTGCCATTACCGGAAATGATAGTCAACCATGTATCAAGAGTTTGCAATTGACATTTGCATGGGGATAATTAACAGGGATTTCATCCTATACTTCTGAAGCTTCTCCTGAGCATCCTTCTAGTAGGAAAGGCTACTCTGGAAATCCAAGGAGTGCAGGGCTGTTTCCCATAGATAGAAGCAGGAGTTGACTAGGCAGGCTGGATTCTAAATCAGCAGAATGTGGAATGGCTTTTTGGCACACGCCTTGAGTTTGCCAAATTACTTCTCTAACAGGCAAACCACTGAACACTTAGAAGTAGCCCTATAGCATTTTCTAGGCATGTCCTTTATATCATGGCCAAAAGAGCCAAGTAGGGCAAGGATATTTGCATGTATAGCGCCTGGCTGCCAACTGAAAGCTTATTTGAATGGGACATTAGATTGCCGGGTTATTGCTACCAACTGATTTCATCACCAGATGATAACTGCAAGATTGCTTATGAACCAACTATTTGTTTAAGGTTAAATCCCTATGAACCTTAATTGCATTTGATTGTCCTTATATTTTCCAGTAGATACCAACAGATCTTACAAGTTTGAAGAGATGCTTTTATTTTCATAAACAATAGACTGTTTTTAAGTGCTGCTTTTAAGAATCCCATTAAAGTTTGGGAGTTGATTAAGAGGCAATTCTAAACAAGTAAATACCTAGGACTGAGTTCAGTGACATGGAATGCCAAGTAAATGGGCAGCCTAATTTAGTTGGAATTAATTCTATTATATCAATGAAACCAACCATCCAGCAAACCTGTTTAGTATAAATAAATCTCTTTCATTCTTCTGGATTCTGCAATTAAAGATTTTCTTCCAGTACTATTTGCAAAAAAATTTAAATTACTCCTTCCAAAGGATGCAATCCTATGTACATTTACTTGAGAGTAAGCCTTATGAAATTTAATGGGTTGGGTTGTTTTTTTTTTTACCAAATATGTGAAACATTGTATTCTAAGGACTGTAAGATGACTGGGATATAAATGCATTGGAGAAGATATTCCCCAATATAAACTAACTCAAATATGAGAAGGGGCAGAATTAAAGGCCCACCGAGTTAGGTAAAAGTACACCCACTTTAAAAGCAACCGTTTTTGTTTCAGATCAGTTGGAAAAATAACCGAAACATGTATTAACAATTAGCAAACTTTAAAATTCTATATACAGCCTGATTTCCTAAATACAAACTGCTTTTTTATAGGCTCATACAATTTGCTCTGTGAGCAGTTATAGTTATTACATCACTTGGCTAAGGTGTAAATACCTAGAGAAGGAAAAAAGAATCTTAGGGAGAAATAAAAACGAGCCTTTTGCAGTTATTTTTTCTTTGCTTGCATTTGATTTGGGTCCTGTTAAGGATCCCTGTAGATCCAAGCCAACAGATAATGCTGCCTCTGAACCACAAATCTGATTATTTGTGGATAACATATTTTCTTCTGAAAGATGAAGATACAGAGGGATTCTCCAACACCCATTTCTGATCAAAGCCTTGGACAATTCTGACAATCCTTTGGACGCCGATGAGAAATCTCCATGGGCACAGCAAAGCTTATTTTTCTACAAGCATAACTCTATCTCACCTGCAAGATTTTAAGATTAAATCTATCCTGTATTTATTTGCATTCCCAGTCTGAGAGAGTGATGAATTTTGTTCTATCCAGCATATCTGACTTTCTGTTGGAACCTAGCCTCCCATATGGGCAAATTTGACTTCTATAAAATAACAGGCGATAAGTCCTACCAGTTTCCACACTTTCCTGCAGCAAAGTATTGACTTGTTCAATTCTTTCCAAAGTTAACTTTACAAAGGTTTCTGCTTTCTGGCAAGATCAGATCCCATTGCAAAGTTTTATCTGCATTTATTTCATGCATTTATTCCAGAAAGCTGCAGCAAGGTTTATTTCTTATTGGCAGTCATTTGCAATTATAGATATAAATTCTTGAATGACAATGCTGATATATAATATAGAGATTGAAGTTCAAAGTACGGTATATTTAATTGGAAGTTAACTTCAGTGGGATTCTTTATTAAGATAAACCTGGGTGTGATCACAATACACTATAATTGTCTTTAAAAATTAAAAATTAAGTTTGTCAATATAGTTTATGTCCAGGCAGCATAGTGTGCTTCTTTTTAAAAGTTCTTCTTGTCAAATTTACCTGGGATGTTTTTTTTTAATTGCAGAAAAAATGAAAGTTGAGTCCATCCTTCATAAGAGGATTTTAATACTGTCAGGATTTGAGTGTATTAATAGCGTTAATCCAAATGTAATTTTAGATTTTCCATGTATACTTTCTTAGATAATTTCTCTAGGATGTGCAGCTTTTTCTTCAAAAAGACACTATTATACTGTACGTGTAAATTTTATTGTGCATATCATTATATATTAAATCTAAACTTTTCAGATTCCAAAATTAAAAGGTCTGATAACTTTTTCTTTGTGTACAAATTGCTAATTATATTTCTCAATTACTAATCTTGTGAAGCATCTATCTGCAAAATATTCACAAATTTTTACACATGCATAATCCTCTTGGGAGGCAAGAACATAAGAGACTACTAGTCTAAAATTTCAATGGACGCATTGTAGGTTTCATAATAAATTTGGGTTTTTTTATTTAATGCACTGTTCCAAGATTTAAACACACAAAAATGCAGTGAAAATGTGTACAACTTTTGAGACCGCCGTCGTAAACAGAAACATTCATCTTTCATAAATTATAAATATTTGATATCGCGAATTGTAAAACGCACATTTCATAAAACTGGAAAAAAAACGAAACCTTTTGCTTTGCTACAAGGCAGTACCATTGTATACCATCTCCTAAGCATTTAATGGTTATTCACAGAATTTAAAATTATAGCATTTTAAGTGTCTCTCCTCCCCCCACCCAACTTGGTAGGACTATGTACACATGTATCTTTTATAGCTGCGTAGTGTGTTTTTAAGGCAAAGTGAGCAGTTCACCACCAAGCAGGCTGTAGTCCTGGATAGCTGAACAGGTGAAGGAAATTCGTGGGCCCCAGGCAAAGATTTTGGATGCTCACCTTTGAAGCAGAAAAGTGAGGGGGAAGGGAAAGGAATCTTCACCGGTACAAATTCTTCACTCAGCTCACATGGAAAGGAGGGTATTTAACCAGGAAAGGGAGAGAGTCCCTAAAAATTAAACGCCCAACTTGCAAGCCCTTCGTAGGGGTCTACGCTCGATTTATTATTTTTTGGAATGAAAGGCAGCACTTACAAACCCGGCCTGTTTCTTTTAAAGAAAGTAGAGCGAATTTCCTTCAGAAAGAATTTAGTGTAGTGAACTCCTCTTACCCATCCGGGCCCCACACCCCACCCCACTCATTTTCCCCCCTCTCCCGTTTCCCTTTCCTGAAGTAAGAGTCAGTGGGGTGAGTATCCCGGCTTCCTTTGCACCCATGGCTGCCCATAAATGCCGAGAGGGAGTCTAAACCAGCCCCTCCTCAAAAGGAAACCCCGTAACGTGCAACGTGACCCGCCAGGCTGCCCCGCTCCGGGCCTCCGAAGCAGAGAATGCCGCCCAAGTGAGCGGCCGCCACCGCCGGGATGAGCTACGAGACCCTCACAGCGGAAAGGAGATCGCCGAAGCTCACGGCTTCACTTCGGCGGGCACTCCGAAGCGGGGAGGATGTTTTGTAAATTTTTCCCGTCCCACAGCTGGCCTACAGGAGAAACAACGGCAGCCTTAAGCCCCCTGGAAGTTTCCCCACTATTTAACAACTTTTTCTAAGTCACTTTTTCTTCCCATCCCTTTAACAGAGAAATATTGAGGAAAAATTTACTGGGCCCCGTTCGGTGCCTCAGGATTTATTTATTTATTTTGAATTCCTCAAAGGGCAGTATGTTTTTACCTGTATATTTTCATGATTAGAGTTATTCTTTCATACCCACTCCCGCAAAGGCAGCATAAGAGGAGGAAAAAGGTGAGGGGGGGGGAGGAGAAAAATAAACATTTAAACTCGCAGAACAAATAGGAGATCTATTTATTCGGTTCACAGTCTCGTGAAATGCAGCAATAAAAATCTTTGGACTTCAGCAAAAGTTGTCTTTTTTTTTTTAATATATTGAGTTTCAAAAAAGAGTGTCCAGTCCGGTTAAAACCGTGCGTAAGTCTATAAAAAGCAACTGAAGCTTTTAAAAAAATCGACCGTCAGCGTCTAATTTTTTTTTTTTTGTAGAAACAAAAAAAGTAAAACAAAAAAAAATCAAAAAAATATTTTATAATCAGATATTTGGATTCTTTAACAACACCTTACCTGCAATTTATATATATATATATGCATATATTTATAAATTACATATATATACGTATTTACACACAGAGAATATTGCAGAATTCTATCTAATACAATATTTTCCACTATTTATGCTGGTATAATCTTTGTACACTGGCCCTTAGATCTATGTTTTTCCCCCCCCCCTCCCCATCTTCTCCATTAAATTATTGCATTGTCTAAAGCCCGTCCGGCTGTCCGCCGCCGCAGCTCACCCCACCCCACCCCCCGCCGCCGCCCCCTTTCCCTCCGCTCTCTACTCGCTGTCGGACTTGCCGTCTTTTGAGGCGGTGGAGTGGTTGTACAATCCTTGTGCCATGAGGTGCACCGCCAGGGAGTTTTTGCTGCCGGTGGCTTTCTTGATTTTGGCTCGTTTGTTCTGGAACCAGATTTTGATCTGGGACTCGTTGAGGCTCAGCTCCTGAGCCAGGCTCTGGCGCCGCTGCTCCGTCAAGTACCTGTTGGTCTGAAACTCCGCCTTGAGTCTCTGCAGCTGCTCCGCGGTGAAGGCCGTCCGCGGCCGCTTATCCTCCTTGTTCGGGTTCTTCTTCTTTGGTTTCCGCGATCGGGGGCCTGCGAGCCGCGGGGAGAAGAGGAGGACAGAGAAAGAGAGAGGGAGAAAGAGAGAGAGAGAGGAGGGGTGAGTGGGAAGGCAACCTCAGCCTCCTCTCGCCGGCCTCGCCAGCTCCGGGGGCACGAGGTTGGACGCTGGGCGGCCTCGCCAGAGGAAAAGGGGCGAGGGGAAGCCAAGACCCCCCCTCCCCTCCCGAGGACGGCCTTCGGGAGACCGCCAGCCAAAAGGGCTCCCAGGAAGCCGAGGGTCCCTTTGGCGGGGGAAGAGCGAGGATTGAGCCCACCCGGCCCATGCTCCGCAGCCAGCCGCTCCCTTCTGCCGACGGTCCCAACTCCAGCCTGCTTTTCTTCTTTGTTACCTCTCGGCAGCATTAGGACCTGGGGATTCCCTGCAAGCCCCCTCCCCGAGGAAGCCAGACTCCGGCAGGCGCTGCCCCTCCATTCTTGGGCCGCAGCGGCGGCGGCGGCTGGAGAAAGGCCGGCCGCAACGGCGCTCTCCTTACCCGTTCTACCCAGGCAAGCCAGCTTCGGTTCGTCGAGACAGTAAGCCGGGAGCCCTTTACCGGGAATTAGGCGGCCGTCTGACCTGTCAAAGACTGTTCGGAGCGGAACTTTTGGAGGGGAAAATCGGGAAATGTTTCTCGGCCCAGGAGAAAGCGGAGGACTGGGCCGCTTCGCTCGGCCTTTGGAAGGTGGCGGGGCGGGTCGGGAATCCCCTGTTATTTTTCTTCCCTCCCGCTCTGGAACCCACCAGCAAAGATCTCAAGGACCGCGGCCTCTTTCTCAAACGAATAACCAGCCAACCTTTTTCGCTTCCAGGAGTCGCGAGAAAGCCTTCGAGGTCTCCCAGACTCGAAAAGGGCCTTTCCAACCTTTCGGGAAGATTTCCTGGCTTTTCTGCACACACAGACACCCCGACCCTTAGGACAGCTCCCAGCTGGGAGAGCAGAAAAGAGCCAAGGATTTGGGGCTTCGGCTGTTCAAGGCCGGCTAGCCTTTTCGCGCCGGCGCTTCCCTTTTTTCCCCCGTTTTCCAAGAGGAAGAAGGACGAGACAGGCCAACCGGCAACCGACTCGGCATCCTGAGACGCCTGGCTGGGTTCGGGATCGGGGCCCGAGAAAAATAAGACCTTAACAAAGCGGGAAGGTGGAGAACAATGGATCTCAGGCTCCGGTGCCAAATATCTCCCCCGCGCCAAAGCTCTCAGCGCAAAATCTTCGCTTCCCATTTTTGTGTGATTATAAAATGCAACCGGGGAAGGAATAAATATTTCGTTTGTTGGATTCAGAAGAAGGGCAAACAAACGCATCCCACAGCAAAGCCCAGGCTGATCGCAGAGGTGGGGCGAGCATCCCGTTCGCGGCGTCACCTCCCCCTAAGCGGGTCGAGGGCGCCCTCGCAAAAACTCTCGCGGCCTGCGTCCTCCCCCAGCCCCTGGAACGGCTTCCAGCAGCGTTGCGAGGGGAAAGGGCGCAAAGGCCCAGAGGGGGTGAGCCGCCGGGTCCGCTTAGCCAGCGGCAGCCAAGAGTCGGGCTCCAAGGAGCGCTTTCCAGCCCTAGCGGAGCCGAGAAGAAAGCGGCAGACCAGGGTGCGCTTCGCTGCGGTCCTGCCATTTTCTGCCCGGTTTTCTTTTTTTTCTCCTGGCCGCCTTCCACGCAGTTCCACCAGCGGGAAGACGCCGGTGCCGAGGGAGGCCTGCTACAAAAGCTTTTCAAGGCTGCTTTGAGGTTGTCAAGGGGAGTTTTCGGTGCAGGCCTCCCTCCGCTTGCGGGGGAAAATCTCCCCGCCGCCGCCAGTCCCTCCCAGGCCGGTTCCCTTCAAGGAATATACCTTCTCCGCCATTCTCCTTCCTTCTCCCGAGCCTCGGCTTTCGCCCCGGCCTCTCACCCGAGCGAGCGAGCGAGTGACCGAGCGGACCTAATACCGCCGCTTACCTGAGGAAGGCCTGTCCGAGTAGCGGGTGCAATAGACCCAGGCCGGCCACAGCATGGGCTGTCCACCGGGAAATGAACTGGCCTGCGAGCTGTCCGAATCCGAGCTGAGCGACAGGTCCCCGCCGCCCCCGCCGCCGCCACCGGACTTCAAGGCTCCGACCAGCTCCCCGCAGTCGCTCCCCTTTTTGGCGGGGACCCCAGTCTGGGGGCCGCCGCTGCCGCCGTCGCCTCCTTCGGCCAGGGAACCCGCGGCCGGAGCAGCCGAGGGACTCCTGGCGTCCAGCAGATGCGGTGGCGGCTGCTGTTGTTGCGGTGGCTGCGGCGGCTGTCGCCGCCGCCGCCGCTCCGGGCTGTTGTCGCGACTACTACCGCCGCCGCCGCCGCCGCCCTCCTTCCTGCGGCCGAACTCCGGGCGGAGGATGTTGTCGATGAAGAAGTTGGTGATGCGGTGCGGCGCGTGCGGGTGGTTGCCCGGCACTTGGAGCACGCGGGGCGCGAGCAGGGCCCTCCTCCGGCTAGCCTCTCCGTCGCTGCCGCTGCTGGCCTCCTCCGGCGGCTGCGGAGGTGGCGGCTCGGCGCCTCCGTCGCCCGGGTGCTGCTCGTTCTCCTCCATGCCGGCCCGCGGATGCCCGAAAGCTGCCCTCGCCTTTAGGCGACGCACCCCGCCCACCCCGACCGCCAGGCGGGCCGGTCGGCGGGATCCAGAGGGAGAGCGGCTTCTTCGGATGGCGGCTATCCTGCGCCTGCCTCGGGCTGCGCGTAGTTGAGATGCCGACTTGCCGCGGTCTCCTTCTTCTCTTCCTGCCTCCCGGGGCTATTATAGGGTTCCTCCCTTCAGTTCTGCAGGCCCCTCCTGCGTCCTTGGCCCAGCAACGTAGTCATCGTTAGGACTAAACATCCGCCCCCCCCCCCCAAGCCCTCCCGCCCCCAGCTCCCGCTCCTGTGGGTTGATACGAGCCTGGCGATATCCTTGCAAAAATTACGCAGCTGCAGAGAAATCCTTCATGAGGTTAAAAAGTCAAGGCAACACCGTCGGTCTGGCTGGAGCAAACGCCTGCCCGGCTCGCTGGCTCCCGCGCACGGCGACCGCAGCCCCGAGGCGCACAAGGCGCTTCTGCACAATCCCCGCGGCTCTCCAGCTCTCCCTCCCCCTTCAGCCAAATATTCTAAGTTGCATTGGAGGACATGGACTGAGAAATTTCTCCCTCTCTCTCATTCTCTCTCTCTCTGTCTTTTTTTTTTCCTTCCCCCTCTCTCTTTTTGTCTCGTTTTGCTCTGGCTCTCCGGATAAGGGGTGTGAATTTAGAAGCCACTTAAACTGAACCTGAAATACTTTCACTCTCGATTTTTGTTCTTATTTTTAATAGAGCTCCTCAAGTGACGTGGCCAAGCCGGTATCTTAGACACGTGCCTTGAGCCAATGACAGAAGAAATCCCCCCACACGTGATACAGAAGCGTTTTGGTAAATGACAGGAGCAGCCCCCTCCTCCCGGCTCACGATACCCCCTCCCTCATTTTAAAGCGATAGCCTCCAACTTGCCAGAGAATTTTTTTTTTTTAAAGAAGAAATGCCGAAATAATTTAATCCTCCAAAACGAGCAAGGGATGTTCGGTCCCTTCTCCTGCTAGTGTATTTCCCTTCAAATCTTTGTCTGAAAAAGGGTTCTAGTGTATTATAACGACAACAATTAGAAAAACGAAATTGTTTACAACTGTAATTGGAGGCGAAAGAGAGGAAGACAGAAGCGGGGGGGGCGAATTCCCACAATTCCTTGCAAAAATAATATGAAACGAGCCAGCCCCATACAAAGAGACTTTTTGTGTTACTGATTTATAGGGACCGAGGAAGGGGGATATAAAATAAAGAATCGAAAATAGTAATTTCAGAAGGAAAAGAAAATCCTGTTCCTTTTGTCTTGCTTGATTTTCGGCACTTAAAAGAACCGCCGCTTTTTCTTTTGCAATCGCGAAGCCCGGCTTGTAATATCAAAAATTCCCGCTGTTTTGTTTTTAAAATTGTTGTTTGTTATTGTTTGCTTTTAAAAGCTGCCCGGCCTTCTCTGGGTCTGTTGTTAGGTTATTATTAGGAACTGCAATGCCATAAACATAAGGCAGTAGGATAATTGAATCATTCAGCTGAAAAACGGACAGGAGCCTTTGATCTTTTATTCCAGCATCCAAAACGATATTAAACAGAGAGGTTCCCGTTGACAGACAGCGGATGGTGAGACCAGCCCCCCCCGCCCCCTCCCTTCCCCCCGAGCACTTTTCGCAGAAATGATACAGCAATTGTGGTTTTTTAAAAAACACAGCACTGAGTCTAATAGCAAATGGCATTAGAATTTTAAAATCATACAAAGTCTAAGAAATAAAAGGGATCTGAACGGATTGCTGGCCATCATTTCAGGAAGGGATACCCAGCGCTGCACGCTCTTCGCTTGATCCTTTCTCTTCCTCTTGCTAAAAAGGTATTTCTTTTCTTTCTTTCTTTTTTTGTCTTAAATCCGCCAAACATCTGCCTACAGACAAAACCAAAATAAGCAACTCCAGGCCTCCCTGGGATCCTGGCGTGGTTACTCTTGAATTTGTGAAAGTCACACAAAGGTCAAGAAAAGGGAGGGAGGGAGGAAGGAAGGAAAGGAGGAAGGAAGGAAGGAAGGAGAAATAAAAGAAGGTAGGTAATGGAATGATGGATGAAAGGAAGGAAAAGAACGAAAGAGAAGTGAAAGGAAGGAAGGAGAAATAAAAGAAGGTAGGAAATGGAAGGATGGAAGGAAAAGTTCACTTTTCATCCAATTCCTGGGGATGTGGAGAAAGAGACAAGCCACATGGTTCAGCTACTCCAAAGACCACAACCAAGCCATACATCGCAGGCAGCTCTTCCTCCCCTTCCAGAGCTTAGTTCCCAATTCAGAGATGAGCCTCTCAATGCTGCTTGCTCTTTTACCCTAGAAACTCCTTCCAGCCGTCTGTCCGGGTCGGAAAGCCTGCGAAATGCAGACTAAATGAGGAGGGTCCCTGCCTTCCTCTTTAGGCAGGGGTCTCCCTGGGCACAGATAGCAAAGTTACATCTTTTCTTGAGGGCAAGTAGTGGAAATATGTTTGAAATTGTTTTCACTGGAGGTGAAAACAATCCCCTCCACCCTCAAGACAAACTGGACCCAAATCAAGTTGACTGTTCAAAGAATCAGCAAAAGTATAGGGTATAAAAATCTTAATAAGTATATGCATATATATTTGTTCATTGTTTTCATCCAGAAGAAAAGAATAGGAAGAATCTCCATTTTCCCAGGTTCTTTATGATAAGTAATTATCATTGCCACAACATTTTGCAATTATGGAGTATTTTTTAGCCTTAGGACCCAACTGAGGAATATAATACTGGAGACAAACAGTATTTCAGCAACCCGGGGTGCTTCTATCCATGTATAAAAATAGATTATTTGTCCCCACTCTGTATTTGAAGCCTAGCTCATATAGAGACCTGACTCAAAATGGATACTTTGGAGACTGCAAGAAACGAGGGAAATCTGATTTGCTTCTTTTGAGCCTTGGTGTAATGCAGGACTCTGTACTATCTTTCTGTCGTCCAAAATATTGTCCTGCTTTCTCCAACTTCATCATCATGACTCTTTTTCAAATCCCATATGGTTAAAAGTGCAGAGGAAGATCTAGAAATATTGCATCCTTGATCTAAGGCATCTGAGTTCTTAACAGGCGTCTTGAGGTTAATATCTCACAGTGTCCCATGTAAAGTGATTAGGCTGTCGCTCAAAAAGTATTTTCTAATTACTTGGAAGACCTGGCTCTGCTATACCCTGTAATTAAACGTGTCCAGGGTGTTGCGTTTCAAATATTTTGCTGCAGGGAGGATCCTAAATTATTGACTTGAGCTTAAAATATCTTGAAGTAAACATAAGCTGTGGAAGGTATCAAGTAACATTTCTTGTCACATAATGCTGACCACACTTTAACATTTCTATTTGTTGAAAATTACCTTGAAGCAGTGAATGCTCAATCGCAGGTTAAGAATCCAGGCAGACTTGCTAGATAAACTCCGAAGTAGAGAATTTTTTAAAAAAAATGCTATAAGCAAAACAATAACTGAGACAGAAACAGGTCTGGCTTAAATCCTAGTTGTATTCTGTTATCACTACAATAATATTCTATATAATCATAGAATATACTATTCTATAATAGTATGCTCTGTTACCAAATCTGGAAAAAAAATGAATAGGGATAGATGATACGGGAAGCCTGACAAAATCTGAATAGATTCTTAAAGCTATCTATTTGTTTTTGTTTTTGTTTTTCTAAAAAATTAGAGCAATAGTTTTATTTTCAAATCAAGTTTAGAATCTGAAAGTACATATGTATCTATTTTAACAAGATACAAGATATTTCTACATCATGTATGTATGTATGCCAAAATAATAGTTTTGACAGTGCTTATTTGATCCATTCTATCTGGACAGCAGGGAACATTATTGTAAATAAACCCTGTATGTTCAAAATGCAAATAATTATATTGATTTAAATATAATTAAATATTTACTGATCCCCACTTCCTGATAATTTTGTTGCATATTTGTTTTAAATGCACTGTTGCTTTTTAAAAGAGAGTTCCTTAAGCCAGTTAAACCACACTGCTATAATTGAACCCAAGTGAATGTCCTAATGTAGACCTTAAGAGTTGGACTAACAATGGTTCATCAAATAAACTTCTCTGGCCCGGTTGGAAATTAAACCATGATTTTAAAAAAATTATTTGAGGTGGAAGCCAAATCCATACATTGAGACACAATTGGGTTGGTGATCTATCTTTTAAGACACATCTCTTTTCTTATTAACGATTTTATAATCTGCTCACAATTGATCAGGACCATGAGAAGAAAACTTTCTCTTTTTCTTCAAAGGCTCACATAAATGGACTTTGGAAAGTTCGGTTCTTTGCATTTCCAGCAGCAGCAGCCCTCTATAAAAATATTTCTGTTTCATGTTTTGAATATATTACTACGCCCGTTTTAATGGAAATGTAGATTGCTGTACGTGTTTTGAGGCTTGGTTTCACTAACTTGGTGCCTAACTATCAAGGCTGTTGGGAAGAAGGTAAGTAAGAACTAATGAAAGGAATCAGATAAATTGAACTCCTGCTGGGTTTATCTACCAGAAGATAAATTTCCCTGATTCTTATAAAACTAAGTCCCAATGAGAAGTCAGCTAGCAAAAGAAAAATAATGCTGGAAGTGTTAACTAAATCTGCCTGCAGGCTGATTTGTTTTGATCCAGTACTGAATGAAGGAAAGCTCCGAAAAGTTTCAGCTGATGGAGGTGGCCAAATCCAAAATTAACAACAAATCTGTCATTAAAAGGAATGTCTTCCTGTGACAAAAACCGAGAAGGTTGTCTGCAAAGATTGACATTTATTACGGTTTGCAGAGTTGCAGGAAAAACTCCTAGAATTCTCTTGACTTCCTATGTTCACCAGCCAGTCAAGATTTAAAAAGAAAAAACTTCACATCTAGGGGCCCATATATAGGATTTTGGAAATAGAATACTCATCTGAAGAATAGCTATGGTCTAACCCAAACACTTGTAGCATAGCTACTGCC